GCATGTTGTCTAAGTGTTTGGAATGCTTCTATGACTAAACTATCTTTTGGCTATTTTGATGAGTGGGAGTGACAAACATGTCAACTCCAAGCTCTTAGCTGTTAGAGGTAGTGCTTATGTTAACTTATAAAGAAGTCATGGAATATAGTTAGCATTATGCTAACATTAAGAGATCTCTACTTAAGACATGCTTTTACGGATCTTAGAGATCATACAGTGTACTCTTTTGTACAATTTGGATGGTTTTCTCTCTTAAGTTGCACATATATATTTTATTATGAGAAACATTCCTTAAGGTACCAAGAATAAACGTTGGGTTTGTTCATAAAGGATTCAAGTTGGGGAATAAAAAATGCATGTGATCATAGAAGATATTACTCACTTTTTCAGTAGAGGACATATTACTATGGTTCATGTGTTTTTGTTCTTTGATGAGAGTTTGCTAGTACTTACACCAAGTGGGAGACTGTAAGACTTTCCTGTATAATATATATTATATATTATGGGTCTTACTTATGTGGTGCAAGTGGACTAGGCCCATTAAGTAATTGGTTGGACTGGACATTTAGGTTTAAGTCTTATTCCACCAATGTGTCTATATAAAGCCTATATTGATGGGATACATGATACATTATCATTATTATGGTACTCATGCTGCTTAGAAAATACCAGTACACAATCTAGGGTTCTGAGTCAAGTATGAGACAAAACGGCTAACCCTATTCTGCAGATCTACTGTTCAAGAGGCAACACAACAGGATATCAACCATGGCTGGAGATCTACAGTGCTCCCGCTTTCGCTACTACGAGTTAAGTTTCTCGTAGATTATTCTCCGTGGTTAGATCATATTTAGATCTCACAAGCTTCCCTAACAGTAGGAAGTTTTTTGTTACTGCATTGTAAGTTTTGTTTCACTGGGAAAAGAATTACTTTAGATGTTATCTTCACTGTTATGAGAAACTACAGAATACATGGTATTACCCTCCACTTCAGCATTGTATTCAGGTGAGATATAAATATGGTATAATTCGATGATGAGTATCGTGGTCATTGCGCAATGATCGGTGTGACTGATAATGATGATGAGATTATGATTGGTGGAGATGAATTGTTGGCAGAAAGCACTACGAGTGCTCGGTTATTGTGCTAAAGGCACGGACCACCTCTTGGACTAGCTGGCTAAAGGCCTGGGTCAGGGTATAAGCGTCGCGGTGTCATGTTAGAGCTATATGCGCTAACCCCTTGGTATTGGTACTAGTGGTACGGACCATGCGAATGACACTTCAGTGCTACCATGTTGGTGGACTTGTTGGGTGGTTACGGAGTGGGGCATGTAGCTGCTCCAGAGGAATAAGGAGGAGGTATACGGGTGGCCTGGAGGTATAGGTTGGAACTGAAATAAGGATGGAGTGGAGTGAAAAGGTTGGAACTTGGTATAAGGTTGGAAGATGGATTGTGTGGCTTGATGATTACTTGTTAAATGGTTGTCTTGAATTCCTTTGTTGTCTCTATTTGCTATTTATATGCTTATCTATCTATAATGTCTTGTAACATGTTCTTAGGACGCATGCTAGTCTTTATGATTATTTTATAATGTCGTGTCTATTGTTGTGTCCTGAATATTGATCTTGGATTTATATTAGTGTCTCGTATGTATATATGTATTCCAGTTTCAAAATGATTTCTTATACCTACCTATATTGTACTTAACGCGTGAGAGTGGGTTACTCAGCATTATTCGCTGACGGTTGCTACGATATGTTTTTCAGGTGATGACCATTAGCTCGTAGCCTCGGTTTAGTTAGTCTAGTTACAGTAGTCTACCTGCGAGCCATGATTTGGATTTGGTTTATTAACTTATAGATTGCATTTGTCTGGATAGCCTTAGCCTGTGCACCTAGGTTCTCAAACCTAGGTGTCGCATAACACCCCGACTATTATGTTTCGTTTATGCTCTGTTTGGGATTTAGCAATAGATTTGCCTTTACTTTCATAAGTTTAAAAGTTTTAAAAATTAGGGGTGTTACAAGCGCTGCCTTTAACGTCCTAGCCCAACGTACCCCTTCTGATTTCTTCAACCATTTTCATCATCCGTTGATTGCATATTTGCATGCATACCAACTTCTTTCTCCAGACAATTTTTCCTGTGCAATTGGTCTTGGCCTTTGATTTCTTTTTCGGTTTCGCCGCCTTCTTTTGAACGTTTTATTCAATAGCCATGCCAAATTTGGCCTCCTCATGGCAAGGTGAGTGCACCTGCACTCACATCTATCACAGCTCCGTATGTAGCCAGAAATGGCCATCCAAAGATTAGCGGCACGTCCTCACGCTCCTAGCCTACATCTAGTACTACAAAATCCACGAAAATCACAGAATCCTTGATCCTAAATGACACGTCTTCCGTTATGCCTCTCAGATACCGAATGGTTCCATCGACAAGTTGGATAGTCATGCAGGTTGGAGTTAGTGCAGGCATATTCAGTTTATCAAACGTACACGAAGGCATCACATTTAGAGAGGCTCCTAGATCAACTAGCGCATTCTCAAAGAAAAGATCTCCTATTGCACATGGCACTATGAATGCACCGGGGTCACCCTTCTTTCTGGGGCATCCCCTATCAAGAACTTTCGAGCATTCCACACTGAGGTGAGCATGAGACTCATTGCGAATCTCTTTCTTTTGCTTAACCAGTTCTTTTAAGTGACCAGTCAATCTAGGTACTCCACTTAATGTGTGAAAAAAGGCATATTGACATGCATTTTTCTCAATAAAGCATTATATTTACCTTGCTGCTCCAGCTTGGCCATGTTCACCATTCGCTGGGGAAAAAGGAACTTGAGTTCGGTAACAAGGTGTTGTTGTTTTGGTTTTTGCCTTTGCTTCTTCAGTGTCAGTGGTTTCCTTAACCTCTTTTCCCTTGGCAGATTTTTCTGGTTTGTTGTTGGCGACTTCTTCCTCAGATTCTTGACTGACTGAAATTGCATTAACTCTTTCCCTTGGGTTGTTTTCCGTCGTACTGGGTAATGATCCAGACGGTCTTTCAGTTACCAACTTCACCAGTTGTGCAATTTGTATCTCCATATTTTTGAATGAGGTTTGTGTTTCTTGGCTCATTGCAGCCATATCCTGTCTATACTCTTGAGTGATTTCCTGCTCCAGTAGAACTCTGCCATTTTTCATTTCTTGAATTGCTCGGGATAACTTCTCATCAAAGTCTCTCATATTCACTTGATAAGGTTTCAGATCGGTTTGGGAAACGTGTGGTGGTCGGTAGAGAGCATTGTTACTTCCTCCGGAATGTGGGCTATAGGTGATTGAGCCTCTTTCTCTACTTGGACCATAGGCAGGTCTACCGCCTTACAAGTTTTGTGGTTTCCCTTGCGATTGTCCTCCTTGATTCCATCCTTGAGTGGATTTCCAATCGTAATTTCGTACATCCCTGCCTTAGCATCTCTTCTATTATACCAAAAGGAAGTGTTAGAAGAAATCTTTTCAATTAGCGCCTCAGCGTCTGAGGGTGATGACGATACAAAAGCTCCACTGGAAGATGAATCCAAAAGCATTTTACTTTAATCAGTTAGGCCTCCGTAAAAAGAACTAATTACATCCCAAGGATGCAGCAAATCGGGAGGGCATTGTCTACACAATGTCTTAAATCTTCTCCACGCCTCACCTAATGATTCAGTCGATCCCTGTTTGAAGTCTTGCACTTGTTTGCGCACCTTCATCATTTTCGTGAGCAGGAAAAATTCATTCATAAACTCTCGATGCAACTAACCCCATGATGTGAAATGTTCATTATCCTGAGAGTCTAACCAAGTCTTAGCTTCTCCAATAACGGAAAAGGGAAACAAGGTTAGGCGAATGATGTCTTCCGGGACTCCATTCGGCCTAAACATGCTACAAGATCTAATGAATATGATCATATGGGTATGCGGATCCTCCGAAGGTAATCCACTGGACGGATGGTTTTATACCAGGTTAATAACTGAGGGATGGATGGTGAAATTAATCCCTTCCATAGGTTGAATGTAGATGGAGTTATGCATCGAGAATTCGGGAGTCATGTACTCCGTTATGGTCCTCATGTGTCCTTCTCCTTGTGCATTATCTCTTGTATTCATTCTTTCCGCATATCTAGGTACTCCTTCATCAAGTCTAATATTGTTGTTCAAGTGTTCTCTCAATGGAGAACCTTCAAATACATTCACTCCTAGCTGAGGTTGATTCTGTTGTTGTGCTAATCCTGGCATTGGTTCTTCATCCATTCCTTGGCTGTTTACCGCACTGTTGGACACTAGTACAAAATTGAACATAGAAGATTGACCATAGATCACCATTGTTAAAAGAATGGTTGCCTAATCTTAGCCCAAAAATTCGCGGTGACAATTTTATAAATAAGTGATCAATAATTCACCACCATTGTTAATTGTAATGATTAGCTATTGTATTTTATATATATTTTAAAAAAAATTAATTTATAATAGACAACCATTTCTAATAAAAATGATTGCCTTAAAATAGAACCTGTTTTATAATAGGCAATCATTCCTAATAGAAATGGTTGCCTAAGATTAAGCCTAGATCTATACAAATCATCGAATTAGATCAGACGACGCGACCTCGACTTGGTGAACAAAATACTCCGATCCGATCCATCGATCTGCTCCCATCGTCCGACCTCGACGCTCCGTTCCGAACGCCGCTGCTCTCGCCCGGCGACCCACCGCCACCACGCCGTTTATAGTTGCTAAGAACTGGAAAGCATGTCCTTCTCGTGGGGGATTGGATTGAACTTCTCTGATCAAGCATTAACTTTGCCATTGCATCTTCCTCCCACATGCACTCCTTTTTTCCTCTCATCAAACCAAATCCCTTCTGCTTTTCATTTTCTTGATCTCATCATATTAAAATTCTACTCCTTTCTTGGTTCACATTACTTTAATTCTTCAAGTCTCAGGAGGATTTGATCTTTTTGGTAGCAAACCAAACCAAACAATGGTGAAAGAAACTGAGTATTACGATATTCTTTGCGTTAGCCCTTCAGCTTCTGAGGAGGAGATTCGCAAGGCCTACTACCTTAAGGTTGGTTTAATTTGCAGACATTATTATATTTTACCACTGCAGTTTCCTTATTTAATGGCCGGCTTGAGATTAACAGCATGTGTTGTGTTTGTTTTAATTCCTAAATTGTATGTTTTTGTTTCTTATTTTGCTCAAGTTAACTACGTTACTTCTGAATATGCATTTTGTATGATCTTTAATTTTGTGTATTGTACCATTATATTGATGCTTGCTTTAATTTGAGCATAAGCTATCATGACGATTAGTGGGGTTTCTTAGCTTTTATTTGAATGGTACAGGCAAGGCAAGTTCATCCTGATAAAAATCCCAATGATCCTCAGGCTGCTCAAAGATTTCAGGCATCTTCTCTCTCTCTATTTATTTATTTGCTTTCTTTGTATGATTTCTGAGCAAATATTTATGTCTTTAACAGATTTTGGGGGAAGCTTATCAGGTTTTGAGTGATCCGGTGCAACGAGAGGCATATGATCAAAATGGAAAGTGTTGTGTTTCCATGTAAGTTTTTAAGAGCTGCTTAATTTTGCATCATATATAATAATAGCTTAGGCCTACAAATTAAAACTAAAGTGTAATAATCCTGTCTTCACGAGTCTTTTGTCCAATAATGTTTTATAAGACAAATATCTGACCATACATACATTATTATATCAAGGCTGTTTTAATATCTTTTTGTGATCCCAGGGAAACAATGCTTGATCCAACTGCTGTTTTTGCCCTTCTCTTCGGAAGTGAACTCTTTGAAGACTATATAGGACATCTGGCGGTTGCATCAATGGCATCCTCTGATTTAGTGGACAACGCTGATAAAGTTCATGGCAGGCTCAAGGCAAGTGTCTGAAATTGAATGAATACATTTAATTTGCATAATACTGTTTATCTCAAAGGGTAATTAGAAGCCAGGCTAAAATATACTGATCGAGTAGTAGTGTTTAGAGTATTTTTATTTGATGTAATGAAGGCTGTCCAGAAGGAAAGAGAACAATGCCTTGCTAGAAAATTGAAAGGTTTTGTTCAGCAGTATGTGCGAGGTGACAAAATAGGATTCATACAACATGCTGAATCTGAAGCAGAACGACTTTCGAATGCAGGTTAGCCATCAGATCAATGCTTTGTTCTTGTTGAAAATCATCACTATTTGCTATAAAGAATGTAGTATGTATTTGCAATATTAGAGAAAGACAACCAAGAGAAATTACTAAAGATGTGCTAGAAATATTGAGTTTTGATGGGAAGGTGGCATATGAAAGTATCATTGAAGCGACTGAGAACTTCGATTCAAGATATTGTATTGGTGAAGGAGGACATGCAAGTGTTTTCAAGGCTGAGCTACCAAGTGGTCAAGTAGTTGCTATAAAGAAGTTTAAGGCCACTGGGCAAGAAGATGAATGGTGTAGTCTCAAAAGCTTTTCAAATGAGGTTCACAGTTTAACCGAGGTTAGACATCGAAATATTGTAAAACTGTATGGTTTTTGTGCTAGTGAGAGACACTCATTCTTGATTTATGAGTACTTGGAAGGTGGAAGCCTAGCACACATATTAAACCATGATGAAAAAGCATTGGAATTAGGGTGGATGGAAAGGGTAAATGTAGTTAAAGATGTGTCTAAAGCGTTGTCATATATGCACCATGATTGCTCAACTCTTATTGTTCATCGGGACATATCTTCTAAGAATATTCTGTTTGATTTGGAATACAAAGCTCATGTTTCTGATTTCGGCACAGCAAGAATATTGATTCTTGATTCATCACATTGGACTTCATTTGCTGGGACATTTGGCTATGCAGCTCCTGGTACGCACTAATTATATATATTAATCCACTTTGCATGCATGCATGCTCTATTATATTCTTTTGTTTTGTTCTTGAATATAATTCATTTTATTTATGGCATGCAGAGTTTGCATACACTATGGAAGTAACCGAAAAATGTGATGTATATAGCTTTGGAGTGGTAGCACTGGAAATTATTATGGGCAAGCATCCGGGAGACTTGATTACAACCATTTTGTCACCCTCAACATCAGAAACCGGCCATCATCAAATGCTGGTAAAAGATTTGTTAGACCCTCGACTCTCTACTCCAACAAAGCAAGTGGCGAATGAGTTGGTTTTGGTTGCCAAGATAGCAGTTGCCTGTTTGAATAGCAATCCACAATGCCGGCTGACCATGCGACAGGTTTCTGTGTTGCTATCCAAGGAATTGCATTTGTCAAATTTATTACTTGATGATATCACAATAAGCCAATTGTTTGGCCTTGAATTCCGTACTCCCTGATCAAGCTAGTTTTCAAGGCGTTGAAATTAGTACGGAGTACTATTCTTTCTGATTCATTCTCAACATGCTTTTTCTCAGCGTTATGTTGCTATATTTTGGTAAGTTGTTGAAATTTTATTATTGCATGACCAATTCTCTTAGATTAATATTGGGTTTTCTGTATTATTTGCTGGATGGATATGAGATTTGTATATGTTGATAGCATTGGAAATTGAGGCATCCAGCCATCCAATTAAGCACTAAGTTGGGATTTGTGAATTTATTTAGGTTAAGATTGGTGTGAGGCTTTGATGTGATGAGAAAGGCAGGATTGGTGAATGTAGTAGTGTTCCTAAACATCAGAGCTATTATATATGGTTTGGACAACTCCAACCAAGTTAGTCATATTAACTTGATAACTACTCAGACTTTATATATTGACTTTGAGTCAGTCAGCTATAGACATCTAACCTAATTGGTTTATCTTCTTGAGGTCAGGCAACCTGAGCTTCAATCTGTGCTCATGCAGCTCCCAATTTCATTCATGCATGCCGGCCCGGGGTATGTATGTGAAAATGCAAAGCTTTAGCTAGTTTGTTTTTTCCATATTAATGACCTTGTGTTTTTCCTATGTTTACTTCACTGAATTTCATTCAGTAGGCTTATGATCATAATGTTCCACTTCGATCTGCATGCAAAAATCACACCAAGACTTCTCATGCCTTGTTGGATTCTTAGCTTGGAACGACATATATAGATCCAATCCAGGTTAGTAACACTATTATCACACCAAGCTAGATAGGGATTCAAACTTTAATTTGTCATTACTAATCTGTTTAGCCAATCAAACAATGGCAGTGATGATGAAGTATAGAAGGAAGCTTAGCTTGCTGATGGATACACATCACCAGATCACTTGTTAAGTGGGGCAAGTTGAGGTGAGAATTTGCTGTAAATTAATAAATGTTTTGGTGTCCTGTAATCTAGCTAATAAACTTTCACTTATTATTTGTTTTGTTTACTAGAAATTGGCTAAGCGACACAACGGCTTCATGTTCTGCTCAACACATGCATGAATCAAAGCATGACATAGTTGACAAGGAAATTATTTTTTTTAACAATTGTCTTTTGAAGATTGGTTTGTGTCACAATTAAGGATTTGGCATTCTGGCAATATGGGAACACCATGATTGATTGATGAAACCAATATAATATAGATCCCTCCATCATTACAATTGTAAGTTTTTTAGGCTTTCCATCACTAAAGACCTTGTGTTTTTCCAATAATGTTTGCTGTGAAATATATACTGGATTACAGCATATATCCAGATTAGTAAATATTATAATGGATGGATTTCAAACTTTAATTACATAAATTTTGATGCAGAGCAGAGCAGCTTTACTGTGCTTCAAATTTCATGATTTTCTAATCTTCAAATTAAACATTATATCTTAGGTGACACATTCCCTCTTGGCTGTGCATTTGATGAGTCCATTGTTCATTCAGAGGTTTGTTATTAACTCGACTTTTCTCTAGCTTTGCATATAATTTGATATTGCAGTTCTTCAAGGAGAACCCAGATTATAATAACCCTCTTTACAACACCAAGAATGGGGTGTATTCTAAGGGATGTGGGCTAGATAATGTGTTGATGTCTTGGGGGCATGATGACTATATGTACTTGGTAAACTCAACTCTTTTTTCGTCATTTTAATTTCCAGAACAGTACGTGCAGATATGTTTATGTAATGGATTTGAGTTTTACTTATTGTAGGTGGCTAAGGAAAACAAGACCACACTACCAAATGTTGGGCTGTTTATCATTAGATATCATTCTTTTTATCGTAAGTATTTAATTTTCTCCCGGCCGGCCCCATTCGATCTGTAACATGCATGGTGTTTTGTATTTGTGAGTAGTAATATATATAATGGTGTTTTGTACGTTATGAATGAAGCTCTGCACAAGTGTGGAGCATACACCCACTTGATGAATGATGAGGACCATGAGAATCTCAAATGGGTCAACATTTTCAAGTAATTAAATGCTTTCGATTTGCATTATATTTTCTTTTTCTTTTTGGCTGCCTTTAATTATATTGTTAACTTAAATGGATTGGATTGTTGTTTTGTGTGTTTAGCGAGTATGATCTGTACAGCAAGAGCAAAGAGAGGATTGATGTTGATAACTGTAAAGCCATACTATGAGTCTTTAATTAAGAAGGTGAATTTTGGAAACTACATTTTTACTATACTTTCCCAAGTGCCACTTCACTCTTGTTTTTATTGAATTGCAAAATTTGTGATTATATTGCAGTACTTCGCAGAGAAGCTCAAGTGGTGAAATTCTTGAGTTTGGAAGGTATTGGTGGTTCTACTTTAACTGGCTAATCTGCTTGAAAACTCGTTGGTTGAATGGCTTTTTAAAAAAATAAAAAATAAAAATGTTCTGTTAATTGTAATATTTTCTTTTGTAGCTTTCCATTATTTTTAATTTAGAATTGTAAATATGTAATTGTACATGGTGTAAAATAAATATAGAAATAAAAATGTTCTGTTAATTGTAATATTTTCTTTTGTAGCTTTCAATTATTTTTAATTTAGAATTGTAAATATGTAATTGTACATGGTGTAAAATAAATATAGTTTTAAAATTATTTTTTATTTTTTATTTTTATTTTTTAAATCAACAATACGCGACTATTCCTGTCTAAGAATGGTCGCGTAAAACTTTTGTAAAAAAAAATAAAAAATAATACGCGACCATTCTTTGTCAAGAATGGTCGCATATTAATGACAATGCGCGACCATTTCACAATGGTCGCGTAAAGTTGATGCCTTTCCGCGAGCCTCTCATAGGCAACCATTGTACAATGGTTGCCTATTATCTTTTACAATGGTTGCCTATCTACAATTCTGTACTAGTGGGATGTGATTTTACTTTCTGATCTTTGATCTTCTTCCGTGTGTAACCTTCTTCTAGCAGTTCTTTGAATTTCTGGATTCAAAGGAAGTAACCCTTGTCTTCCTCGTGATCGGGTGTGCATCAACTTCTTTCTCAAGATTAGAAGAAATGGTGTGGCTAGAAGTAACCACACTTGGGTAAAGAAAAGAAAAGAAAAGAAAAGAAACTTGAATCGAATTTCAAATGGGTGTTCTTCCTCACTTTCTCAAAAACTCAAGTTACTGTTTGCCATTCCCCGACGACGGCGCCATTTTGACAGAGACGCGATGAATTGCTTACGGTTCTCATTTTCAATAGCATTGTCAAAAGATTTTGGTGTGCAAGGGTCGGGTAAAGATGTAAGGTTTAGATGGGAATAAAACGGGGAGTGAGAACCACCCCGAGTATCGTACTCAAGGAATGACAACTTGGAAGTTGAGCAGAAGGTACGGTGAGGTTGATTTGGCGTTGACTGATTCGATTCAAGTAAGGTCGAGTAAAGAGTTGATTGATAAGGAACGCAGAATGAAGAGCTTTGAAGAAATAGGAAACGAATAAAGGAAAAACTGGTTAGGATTGTGCTCCAATTGCATTTTGTGATTGGTTGCTCCCTAAAATGAGATGTTGTGGTGATTTGAATGCGAGTTACTAGTCAAGAAGAACGGCTTGCTAGTGCGCAGCCAATTCGGTCTATACGCCTCCCGCATGAATTCTCATTCTATACGAGACAATTCAACGAACACCTTGCCTACATTTCTTCTCGGACCATTGTCCTCTTAGATCTAAGGCGGGGAATGTAGAGGTTTAAGAGGCCTACCTAGATTTAGCAATCTCTTGCCTAAATCTATGAATCCAACATCAACCAAGGAGCTGGGCCCCACTCCAAGGAAGCTACAAAGATCTCCATCAACAACAAGACATCCATAACATCAACAATCAATCACCACAATATGGGAAATCAAAACAAACCCATCAACACAATAGCAGTTTTCACAACAATCCCAATCCCTAGAATTTTAGCCTACCATCATTAAGATCAAGATCAAGCAATTGTAAAACAGGCAAAATAAGATATAAGCAATAAATAGTAAGTGGTAGATTTTACCCAAATGCAAGCTAGATCTCTTCAATAGCAAGGAGGAAATGAAGATCCAAGCCACAATTGCTCCAAATCTCCAAATCTTCTTGCAAATCCAAATGTTTCTGGCTAAAGCCCTAGAGAACGAAAAACTAAGCTAATCTAGATCTAAAACTTCTCTCTAAAACTCTGAAAAATCTCTCTAAAATTTTGTAACTCCTCCTTTAAGAAATCTGAAATATGCCTTAAATACTGCCTTTTCCATTTGGCTTCCCATTTACGCACAGCGTCACGGCGTGACGCCGGCGTAAATGGGAAATTGTCTTCCTCCGCATCAAACAGCGTCCGGTTCCATAAGTTGGGAATTGCGCAACCGTCACGCCGTGACATCCTGCGTAAATGGCGAATAATCCTTCTCTGCGCTTACCTTATCCTTCTTACGCTGCTCTCACGCCGTGACATGGTTGCAAAAATCGTGCCGCCGCTACGAGGAAGGCCGAAATCGGCCTCCCCCGCGGCCGGCCGGCTAGGCGGCTGCCTAGACCGCCTAGCCGGCTGAACCAGCGTTGAATTTAATTATTATTTTTTTTTGCGTTGTAAAGTGGGAAAAGTTCGAGAATGCATAAATTTTGACTCAGTTGTCCGTTTTGGACAATTTTGTTTTTCAAATCGCGTATTTATTTTATTTTATTTTATTTTATTTTTTTGCGTTGTAAAGTGGGGAAAGTTCAAAAAAATGCTTCTTTTGCTCTTAATTTTAGTTTTTTTTTTATTATTTTTTTTATTTTATGTATTTAGATGATTTAAACAATCTTTTGAACACTTTTACAACAACTTACGTAATAGTTTGTAAGAAATAACTATGGAAACCTTATGTTTTATTACTAAATTTTGAAAATTTTTAATTTTTAATTAAAAAATAAAATAAAAAATAAAATAAAAATCGGCGCCTAGGGGGCGCTTAACGTTTTTTGCAACATTGCGCCGTGAAGATGGCGTAAATGGGAAATAGTTCTTTTTTTTTTTCGGCATTGTGGTCGAGTTTGACGGGGAGGTCATCGCCAGTGAATGTGATCGGTTCAACCCGAGCTTGCTTTTCACTACGACTAGTTTCCACGATTCCGACCTGCAGCTCTTGGCATCATTGGCATCTTTCTTCTGAACTATCCCTTCATTTTGGGCCAACGAATATCACATGGATCACTTGTATGGAGCCGGATGGTTGGGGTTCTGTCTCAGGCTTGGGATCTCTGTATTTCTTGTCTTTGTCTAATCTCTTAAAATTTTTCTTCCACGACCTTTTTGCCATTATCTTTCTTTTTGGTAACCTCATGGTTGCAAAAATTGCGCCTGGGTGTCGATTAGGCGCTAGGTGGTGGACAGACACCTAGAAATTCGGTGGAATCGTCATTCTAGGCGGCCAACCGCCTAGGCGGCCTATGCGCCAACTAGGCCGACGTGGACTAGGCGGCTTAAGCGGGCATCTAGGCGCCCCAAAAAAATCTTTAAATTTTTTTTTTTTTAAATGGGCGCCCGAGGAACGCCTAGCGATTTTTGCAACCTTGGGTTAACTAGGTCAACTTCCCCGCTTTCAGGGGTCCTTGATCACCCCTTTTAAGACCCCACATTCCTTTGTGTCGTGGCCCCGGTTCTGGCGGTATGCGCAATGTTTCGACTTATCTTTGTCGTCTCGACTGGGTTCCAGGAGCTAAACCAAGTTTAAGAATAGGCATAATTAAGTACCTCTACAGCCGATCGATTTAGCACTATGAAGTCGTCGACTCTTTCCCAAGATCTCTGTTGTTTGTCTCCCCGCATCTGATCCGGGCGACAGTCGCAGCGACCCGAGCCAGCCTCTTGTCGCCTTTTTGTCGAATTTTCCTGCATGGCATTGGCATAGTCGGTTACCCGATGAATAGCCTCCTCATAAGATTACGACGGGGTGCACGATGAAGTCCTGATATAGTGCTCCTGCTCGTAGTAACGAATGCAGGTCGTTGACTGCTATCCCGTTATCCATCTGCTCCACCTCACCGAACGCATTTTTCCAATTCGTCAGGAAGTCAGTCAAGGATTCTCCGTCCTATTGCTTAGTTGCATCCAAGTGAGTGAAATGCTGCTTTACGGTCCTGTAGGTTGCAAAACGTCGCAGGAAATTAGTTGCCAAATCAGCAAAACATTTTATCGAGCCTGGTTATAGGGACTTGAACCACTCGGCGGCTCTTCTTGTCAATGTGGAATAAAATGCTCGGCAGATCTCTGCGTCGGATACCTCCATCATTATCATGTTGCCATAAAAAGAATTGACATGCTCCTATGGGTTGATCTTCTTGGAGTAATCCTTGCTCCCTGGTATTCAAAGGTCGATTGGATACTGTTGTGATAAACATCAAAAGATGCTAGTTTTTAAGATGTTTCTCACATGTTTTAGCCTTAAAGTCTTGTAATTTAGAGTAATTTATCCTAAAAACACAGTTTAGCACGGAAATACCCTTCCAATCTTACTTTTCATATTTTAGATGTATTTGGACAAGAAAAGTGGCATAAGAGGACAAAAATGACAAAGCTAAAGAAAAAGCACATCTGAGGTACCGTTCACACTGCAGCCACGCACGTAAGGAGAAAAAATGGGAATATTTCCCATTTACGAAGTGCATCATGGCGAAAGGAGTCACGTAAGCAGCATTTGGAGAGGACGCATGCGCTGAGGGGTGTCGAATGAGAGCTTTGCATATTTAAGGCTTTTCTTCTTCATTTTAGATAAAAAGTTTTTACACAAAGTTACATAGAATTTTTAGAGAGAGAATTTCTATTTTTAGAGAGAGATTTTAGATCTAGTTTAGTTCTTCATTTCCCCTCACTAGATTTAGCCAAAAACTTTATCAATCTTGTAATTGAAGTGAAGATCCAAGCATCTCCTTGCAAGATCTTCATCTCTAATTGTTGGATTAACAATCTAGCTTGCAATTTTGGGTAAATTTTATCCAATCTCTTATTGGTTTATCTTGATGAAGTTTACCTTGCATATGTTTAGATTGTTGATTTTGAGCATGAGTGGCTAAATTCTAGGAATTAGGATTGTAGTGAAGATTGCTATTGTGATGATTAGCTTGAATTGATTGTTATATTGTGATGATTGCTTGTTGGAGTTATGAATGTCTTGTTGTGGAGGATGATCTTTTGTAGCTTCCTTGGAGTGGGGCCTAACCCTTGGATGATTCAGATTCTGAGATTTAGGCAAGGGATTGCTAAATCGAGGTGAGCCACTTCATCCTTCCATATTCTCCGCCCTAGATCCGAGAGGAAAAAGGTCCGGGAATGAATGTAGGCAAGGTGTTCGTTTAGTTGCCCCGTAGAGATTATAAACACTTGGGTG